AATATTTATAAGCCTTCTAGAAAAGCTACCATTACTTTTTTAGCTAATATTTGTATTTAACAACTGTTTTTATTTTTGTTGCACAAGTAAGATATACTTGTTGCTCACTTTTCTTGTCTTGTGAGCCCCAACTTGATGCTTCTCTGATATGTGTATTTTCCTTTTTATGGTAAGTTGTTTGCATTTGATCATATTTAAGCTGTTTGGTTTGTCCGTAATTGATTTAGTTGTAATAGAAGAGGGAGACTCTTTTTCTGTCGGCACACTCGCTAGAAATAAAAAGATAAAGCAAAAGACACTTACAAAGATCTTGTGCTCTTCATGGCTCAAATATTTGTGATTATTTGTGCTATCAGGCTATATTCAAAACTTTGCGCTTGATTAGAAATTTAAGTCTACTTTTTGGAACTTGTTATTGGTTGGATCATTTAACTGGTTGAATAATATTAATTTATGTTTTATTTTTCACATGTGGTATTTATTCAGTCTTAAATATCTTTTGCTCTGTTTACAGGACATAATAGATTTTTTTTCAAAAAACATGGTCCAAGAGAGTCTAGGAGAAATCTGCAACGCACATGTGGTTCATGCTGACCTCAGTGAATTTGGAGCTTTGGATGAGAAGTGCCTAAAATTGGCAGAGCTTGCTGCTCTAGCCGTTGATTTCCCCAAAACTGGAAAACTTGTAACCATGCCTTTTGACCTCAAACCAAAAATGTATCCCGACTTCATGGGGAAAGAGGAATTCCAATCATACAAGTCAAAGAAAATTTTGGGCAAATTGTATAGGCAAGTGAAAGATGTATGTGATGCAGAGGGTGAAGTATCTGCTGGACTTGAGGTTGTCCCAAAAGACATCCCATATGACACTACTCTTGAGATCCTAGGATCCACAACTTTCATAGACGATGCATGGAACAGCAAATGTTCTTATGATGGTCAGTTGAATGGACTTTTAGGACAATACAAAGTGAACAGGGAAGAAGAGGTGGTTACTGGATATATATGGTCCATGCCGAAGTACAATGCTAAGAAGCAAGGAGAATTAAAAGAGAGGCTGAAGCACGCATATAATACGCTGAGGAAGGAGTTCAGGAATGTCTTCGAGCGTATGGAGCCTGATTTTGATCTTCTTCCTGATGATGAGAAGAATGATATGTATGAAAGAAAGGCATCTGCATGGTATCAGGTCACCTACCATCCTCATTGGGTTGCTAGATCACTGGAGTTGCAATTGGCAGATGCTGTCTCAAATACTGTAATGTTAAGTTTTGCATGGATTGCAGCAGATTACCTTGCTCGAATTAAAATTAGGCACAGGAGATTGCAGTATTCCGACTCTACCAAGCCAATCAATTCCCTTGGAAGGTATCTTGTTGACAAAATATGATGCTCATCAACTCTTTGGCTGCAAGGCCTCTCTGCCATTATCAATACCTGGTTTGATGTCCTTTAGGACCTCCTAATCTCCTCTTTCCTTATGTTGATCTGTTATTATATGTAATTTGTTCCATGAGTTTGCCTGCTGATACTGGTGATTTGCTTGTTGCCCGAGTTTTCTTGGAATAGTTCTCATATATTTTTGGTTTTTATGAATGTCTTCGCATTTCAGAATTGTCTCATGAGCTTGTAATTTCATTTTTCTTTTATTATTTTTGGTCAGAAGAAAGACTTTGTTATGTATAATCATGTTAAAATGCGATAACGAGGAACAGGAGAGGATGGAGGATACTTTGTCGCTGTTAAGTTATGTACTGTCCCAAATGGCCACGTTCGGGTGTAAAAATCATCCAAAGGAGCTTCTAAATTGAATTGTTTTACCTATTGCTTTGAGATTCTGAGTTGGAAGTTAAGATTTTTTCACATGGTACCAAAGTTAACCTTTGGCAGTTTTTTTTCTCACACTCGTAGTCTCCCTGATTTTTTTTTTTTTTGAACATAATTCAATCTCCCTAATTGCTTCTAATTGATGTGGAAGATATTCACTAAGCTGTATCCTTAATTACAGAATATTTACAACTACTCCTAACAATTTCTTTGCTGATTCAGTTTTGCTTTTTCTTTTTCCCCCGTTGGCGGTGAAGAACATTAATGTGAGATTCAACCACTCTGTTTTGAGCTTATTGTAGTCTCTGTTTGGCATGATGATCTGTAAGGGGTTTTAGGAAGTGCAAATCCTTTCAGACCACATGGTTTGTTGTCAACCAAACAGAAGTGCCCTTCAGTTTTCAACCTTGTTCTTGAAACTCATTTTCTTCTCAAGCCACATGAAATATAGGACACCTTTTGTACAGCAGCAATTAATGGGGCTAGAACTGTCCCAGTGGATTCTAGCTGGTTAGGTTGACCAACTCTTAAACCACACATGTCCTATCTGGCCTAAATTTAATGCACTTGTTTCCCATCTAACACAACTCTTTGCCTGATAGAGGTGAGCAATTCATACAACCTATTTATGTGTTAGAGGATTAAATGAGCTTAATTAAGAAATCAGCGCCACTTTATGGTAGTATTACTCATCTTCATATACATATATCTGATCATATAAGGAGTGAGATAGGGCCAGTTGAATATCCAACTTCTTTTTAGGCCATATTATTGTAGATTATGGTATTTAGGGAAGACACCTTTTAACAAAGGGGTTTTTTTTTTTTTTTTTGGGGGGGGGG